AGGTCTGCTGGTTACCTTTTAATGGAGCTAGAGGACAAACTAGATATTAAAAATAAAAGCCACATAGCTGCATGACCTCATGTTTATTTTAACAGGCCACCCTGGATTCTGGCATTTAACACACAATAAGCTTATCTTCTTCTGAACAGTAAACAAAAACCCACAGGATCACAATGTATTTTGGATGACAAAACCAGAAACAGATCAAAATCACCAAATACAGGCCTTCCCCTTTTTTTTTTTTTTTTTGGTAAGACAAGACCATGTGACCACATGAGATCTCTCATCAACTCCTTAATTCAGGGATTAGGAGTAGGCACTAGGAATTTCCTATGCCTCCATGGGAGACTGCACTAGAAACACACATGGGACGATACCATAGAATTGATTCTTCTAGGAATCACAGTTCAGATAAAAAGAAGAAAAAATAATGTGTTTTGAAAGGTTAGGAACACTAATTTGCATACATAAAAAGTCCCATCTTTCTGCAGTTTTCTCCAAGGCTGTGATTTGGCTGTCAAGAGTTAAGAGTGCCTTTTCCCTTCAACGCTTGCTCTAGATTAATGAACACAGCATTTAAAACATTGCCCATCCAAGTAACCCTCACAAGTCTTTTTTAATCATTTTTGTTTGTTTTACAAGGAACTGCTGATACAAAACTAAAAAGAAAATAAGAATTTATGAGACTGACAAACAGTAATCAAGTCAGGTTTTGCTAATTCTGGAAACGCTGTTTGGTAACTTAATAGACCTGCTAAAGAATTGCCATTGTGTCCAGTCTCAAGACACATGGCCCTAATTTAGGGACACTCGGGTTAATGGCAGGCTATCAACTTAAATGGTCTTTGCATCAAGCTACTAATTAGTGCTCTATCCCAATCCATTCCTTACAAACTCAGGACATTAGTAGACAGAGTGGAAAGGGCAGCCCCTTGAATTTGCATTAAAGGGGAACAGACAGATACAAACAAATATTTAAACAGATGTATTCTGAAGTTTTTTCACATGTAGGTCTAGAACAAGAAATGTCTGGGTACACACAAGATTTGTGCCCAATGTTGTCCGCACACAAACATGTCTTCTCATTTTTCATGAGCTTAGGAAGAATCCTATGGGCAAGAGAAGTGTCATATTTGGACAACTTAGCTCTTGAACTGTACCTCTTACTTTAAACTCTTACCTGTGTTTCTGGCTAGACATCTACATTATCTTACTTCAGTTTTTTGACTGATACCTCACATACACACAGCCACATGCAAAAATAATGCTACTGGTACAATGAGAAGGTTACAAAAATCAGAGATGGGCCCCAAAGGAAAGTATCACCTCAGATATATTCTTCTTTAATACCTAAGAAGCTATTTGCAAAAGAAATTAAGAAGAAAAGGGGGGGATGGGGTGGGGACGGTATTTTAGAGTACCACACCCAAGACTAAAAAAATTCAATCACAGGAAGAATTGAAATTGAGATCAAACCTACTGGGAGCTACAGGAAAATTGCGCTATTATTGCCTATGGCAGGCACCTGAACATTGTGAATGGATTTTAATAGACTTACTATAATAAATAAAGGGCACTGGGCAAAATCGGTAACCATCCAGGTTTGTACTGGTACACATTTTATAGTTTTGACAAAAGCAAAACAAAGCAAAATTTCACTGTAAATCATAAACACTGCTATTAACCATAGTAGCAACACACTAAACAAATTAAATAAAATCTGAAAAAAAGCCTGATTAAAAAGCCCGATAGAGCATATCTCTGACCTCTGCCTTCTCCTTCTATGATTTCTAAGACAGAAATGGCTTTATCGTCACAAGTTAGTTTTGGAGGAGAAAAGAATGGTAAGTTCTGTTTTAAACAATAAGTAATTACAACAGGTATGACAAGGAATATTTTGTGGCTTAAATCACTGACTTACATATCAGGTTACTTTTCCAATATGCTTATTTTCACCAGGAGTCTGACCAAGTTATTTGACTTTATCAGCAGCTTATACGACTTACTGTCATAAGGTACTATGATATATCAGATTAGTTCACTTATTTTGTCTGCAGCTTTCATTCACAACTGATTGACCTGTAGAAAGCAAGCGTGCCCCAACACCAGACTTTAGCTATCTTGTAATCAAAACACAATGTTCACATGTTAATCCATGACAGTATTTTCTTACAAATTATAGATATTAGTCATATTAGCTGATTTACTTATGCAACCCAGTTACACACATATTTTTACAGCATTATCAACAGAAATATTGCAGAATTATACCAGATCAAGCTTGTTACATCAGAATTAATAACATACACCCTAGTATTTCCCACACTTCACAAAACCATGCCTGAAACACAAACAGAACTGAACCATCCTTGAACAACAACTAATTTGTCCTTTTAATCTGGGGGCCTGGGGGGTAGCAAGAAAAATCAATCATGAGCATTCCTTCATCCTAAATCAGATTTCCCAGAAATATACAGTCTTAAGACCCCCACAGACAAGAAATTCATTTTCACCTATTTAATGGGGGCCATTGGGCTGCACCTTGAATCACTGATCGGTTAAGGGAGGTGGGGAAGGTGTTTTCAGATTTGTTTATTTTAAGTTTAAACGAGAAAAAGGGGTCTATATAATAACCAACAATAAACACATCCTTATTCCAACTAAGAAAAGGAAAACTCTTTCCTTTAGTATGCTTGTAAAGACATCAGAAAAATAAAGAATCTGACTTTAATGGGAAAGACACTGAAGCAAGCTTCACTTCTGTAATTTCCATCAAAATCACATAAAGTCTCTGTACGAGGTAGCGTCATTCCATATTCACAGAAAAAATTAAAAAGGTACTTTTAGGAATCTGTGCCTAATGTGCCTTTCCATACTAGAGAGCTCAAAGGAATAAATACCTCCTTTCGTGTTTCTTTTTAAAAAAGTGGCCTGTAGTAGTAGGAAAAAAAAAGTTTGCAAACATTGTTTGTCCTAGAAGTTACAGAACAACTGAAATTAAAGCAAGATCACAATTAAATCGAAGTGCTAGAAATTAAATGTCTATACTTCACCAATAATCTTAACAGTCTTTCTACAGCACTTGACGCTGACTCAGAACACAACTAATACAGAAGTTTGTCACCCCTCACTCCTGCTGAGTAATCCCCCTTAGGTCAAGGTTTAGGTCGTAACATTACAAGAATTAGGGCATATAATCTCACGAACCAGGACATCTCTACAACTAGAAATGTTTTGAATTAAAACCTACAACTATATACCCTTATCTTGCCCAAGGGGAATTCAGTTGAAGTTGTAGGTTGTTTGACAGCTGCAGTGTACTGCTCATAATTGTTATCTATGTGGTGATATACCATACAGGTAAAGAAATTCAAGGAGTCAGTAACACCGTTTCTCCCAAAAAACTAAGTATTCTGGCATTTTCCCTTTTTGTGAGCCACCCAAGGAAAGAAGGGGAAACACTATCCACAAATAGGGCAAGCCACATTACCCAAGACTGATCTAAGAGCTAAACTAAAAATGAAAGCTTCAACAGAAAATTATTCTACTCATTCAGGAAAAGCAAGGGGAAATGGGGATGAGGTACTCGGGTTGTGCTTCCCACAGTAAGTTCTAGCTGCCTGAATGCCTTTTTAAAATAAGCTTTTCAGACACAACCGTCTTCGACACTTGTATTTTTAAAAAAAAAGAAAAATAAATTAACTACATTGTATACAGGCTTGCTATACTATTGCTTGTCAATAATTTAAATGACGTACTTTCAAAGAGCAAGACGAAACCACTTACAAATTTTAGAAAAGTAAAATGCTTCTTTACGTATGTTACAATTACAACATTTGCTACATATTTTAATTAAATCAATTGTGGTAGGTAGCGTCTGAAGAGTCTGCAAAATTATACAATTCAGAAGTTTTAAGATTCTTTTAAAAACAAAAAGTGTCACTAAAATGCAAGGTGTCATTTGAACTCTCAAAGTAACAGCTCTGACAATGTAAGAAGGAAACAGGCGGTGTTACCGCACAACTTCAAGCAAATACTTCACTTCTCTACTGGCATTCTAAACATTTATTTTCATTAACCTTAAGTAAAAAGTGTCTAAGTCCGGGTTGGATGAGGCTTTGAGCAACCTGGCCTAGTGGAAGGTGTCCCTGTCCACGGCAGGGAGGTTGGAACTGGATGAGCTTTGAGGTCCCTTCCAACCCAAACCATTCTATGATCCTGTGATAAACACAAACATCACTTTGTTGTAGTCATAAAACCAAAAATATTTCACTGTTTTCACAGAAAATAAACATTAATAAAAAAAACCAAAACATTATCAAAAAGTTACTTTAGTTTCTCTTTTGTAGTAGCAACAAATATAACCCTTACAAGAATGGTACAAAGTATCTGTTGAAAAATTGCACTTATTTCCTATTACAGGCTTAGCTTCAAAGTCTCTGAAAACAGCCATTGGGTGGACCTCTATGAAAAGACATTGGAGCTCCAAAATAAGTGCAACATGTAAATACTGTTACTTGTTTTCCAGATGCACTGATAAAAGTTCAACATGACAGAATTCTATTCATCAAGACTTTAAGAACTAGGCAGCACTAGGAAATTGTATTAGCCTTACACTTTCCTTAAGAACTGCATTTTAAAAGACACCATTGAGTCAGGAGTATTTCACTATTTGGCACTTAACTGTTCCTCTCTCACACATGGGCTAGGAAATACTTGAATTGAGCAGGTAAGTTTGATTTTATCAAATAAACAAAACCAAAGAAAACTTGCATGTCAGTATGACTAGAGATACTTCACTGTACTGGGACAAGCAGTCTAAGGTACGTAGAGGAAAGTTGGGGTCAAAGTTAAGAAAATGTGTCACAAAGATCAAAAGAGCACACCTCTAATTAATCTGATGTACAAATGAAAGATTACCATACTTCGAGCACATGAAGACTAAGCTAAAACATCAAGATCTAGTTACATAAACTTTATGTGTCTCAGATGCATCCTACCTGATCCACTGAACTGGCTGCTTCCTAGCGTAGTTGGTCTTGTTTTCCCACTATTAACAGGTGGGGAAAACATCTGCAAAACAAGAAAAAAGATGTGTTTAAATTGCCTTTGAAACTTTGCGATAAATTATTAATGCAAACTTAAAAAAAGTTATTAGGAAACAATTATTTGATTCATTTTTGTGCTAGAAAATAAGCAAAATGCGAGATGCAAGTTTAGACCCATAAAACCAATAAGCTAAAGCACTCCTTGCAATTTGTTAATACCAATAAAATCTCTTTTCTACATGAACACAAACAACTTTTAAAAAATAAAAGGAAAGCTACTACTACTATAGCAATTTAAAAACAGTTATATATATTAAATTTTGCTAGTCAAAATATATTCCTCATTGATCTGTGAGTTTAAAGTCACAGGATAAAGGCAGCTTTTGAAAGGCAGTAGTTTTCTATTATGTTTATAAATCAAGCACCTTTTTGAAATTTGTTAAAAGTACCACACAGAAAATACCTATAATCTTCTGAGCTAAAATTACTGTACAAACCGTCAATTAATAAACTCTCTTATCCACAAGCATTAAATTTACTTTTGGTTTAACAAAAACCAAAACAAAACAAAAAAGCCAAAGCACAAGCGCCACACGCCAGCTTAACAAACGTTAATTATTAGATTATGCCATCACTGGGTCAGCCTGATTTTAACCAGTTAAACCAATTGACCCAGCTGGTATTACAGTATTAAATCTGGAAGTCTAGACATTACATCAAAGTTCAGGTGTCCAACTTGGCTGAGACGGACCCAGCCAAGCCCCGCACGCTGCTGCCCCTACTCCTCCGTTCGCTTTACCACGCAGCAGCCGCGGGAAGCCCCCGGAGAATGTCCTACCGCACTGAAGTCCAGCAAGTCGCTCAGCTCCTTGTCAGTTCCTATAGCGGCCATCCTCTGCTGCTGGGAATTCATCTTCCTCCGCTCCTCCGATCACCTTCGGGGGCACAGGGAGAACTTCACCGCGGGTCTGCCGCCGACCCCGGGGAAACC